TTCCTCGCCGTCCCCGATCGAAATCAGCACCGCGGGACTTGCTGGAGAAGATCAGCGCAAGGGCGAGGGCGCTCAACCAGCCCAGCCCGGCAAGCAGGCCGGCCCGCTCAATGTATACGTTCAGCGAGGTTCAGGCGAGAACGCCCAGAACATCTCATACGTCGCCACCGGGGGTAAGGGCGGAAACTTCGTTGATGCCGGTGCCAAAGGGGGCGACGGCGGTGCAGGAGGAAATGTTGTTCGTGTGGTGTCGTCGCTATATGACACACTCTTCACCGCTCTTTCCGCTTTCCTCCAGCGCGACGATGTGGTATCCGGAGATCCAAGCACATCTGTGACGACAGGGACTGCTGTTTACGCCGCTGCCCTCGACCTTAGCGAATATCCTACGGATGGTGTACTCGAAACCATCGATACTCCGATCCAGAGCCTTCGCGACATGTTATCAGGCATTCGCTCGGGCCTCGACTGCACCCTCCGCGAACTCACTATCGCGGTCAGACGTGTTCGTAACGCGGTGGTCGAGGCCATAGACGACCAATATGCCTACGCGGTGTCGTCGGTACATGTCGATGGCGGTTATCCAGGGAGCGGTGATGGCGTCGTCGGCCCGAACGGGGCAGCCGGTGCGAACGGAACGAGTTCATCTTTACTACTGCCTCGCCACGACGAATCATATGCTCCAGTCGACATGACCGCTTCACTCAAGCAGTTGTCGTTCGCATACGTCCACCCCGAGCAGTGCGCAATGCTGCTCACTCGCGCCAAGACGTTCTATTACATGGGCTCGCCGATCTTACGCCAAGAAGCTGCCCAGCTCTTCAGCCGCATCATTGACCGTATCTCATTCCTACCGCTCCTACCCACGGATCCCCTATACGATGCGTATCAGAAGAGCACTATTATGCCGTCGGGCAGTCTTGACACATTAGAGAGCATTTATACTGATGCGAAGGCGCAATTAATGCAAATAGCCACCGGCAAGGTAAGCGTTCGCGCATATCGTACTAGTTTCATACTAAGAAATATTCTAAGGACTACAACGGCGACATCGATACATTCGTGCCGCGTGCTAGCTACACCTTCTACAAAGGTGCCCTCGATAACGCTTTGACCGACATGAAAGCGCTCGAAGATGCCTATATCGCCTATCATGTTGCTCTTACCGAGCAGGAAGAGCTACAGAACGCCGTCGACGGTGCGCTGCGCAGCACTAGCGCCATGATATCCAGCATCAGTGCAGACATCGACGATCTCGTAGCCAAACTACAGGACGCCCTGAACCAGATCAACCTCCTCACTCAGCCTGTAATGGATACACACAAGATTCTGTTGGACGAGTACACCAAGCTCGAGGACAAGATCAAGAACTCGTTCGACCTCAGCGTTCCTCAGATCATCAACGGCCTCACGCAGTTCTGCTTCGCCCCTACAAAGGGCATGGGCGCCATGCAAATTGGGAACCTGATCTTCCAAGGATTCGATTCGGTCCCTAATATCAGTGGCGTCCCTGTCAACAAGGACGTTATCATCAGGCAGCTTGTACAGAGCGAGGCCACCGTGAAGGGTATTAAAGACACGCTGACACAGGACTCCCTGGATGGCACCTTCCAGCTCGACGACCCCTTTGGCACCCGGCTGCTCGCCATCGAATCCGACATGATGAACTTCCTCTCCGACTACGCTAATAGTTCCTTCGAAGACGTCATCGAGGAAATGAAGCAGAAGTTCGACGATTACATTGCCGCTGTCGTGGCCCGTAACGAGCAGGTACTACTGTACAACATCGTGCTCAAGTTGCTGGTCCAGAAGTACGCGGACAAGGACGCGTACACCCAGAAGCGCGACGAGCTGCAAGGCAAGGTCATCAAGGCGGATGACCCTGACCTTCCTGAGATTACGGCGTACATGGATTCGATATACCAGTCCTCGCGTGCGCGCGTTATGAAACTGCTTGGCTTCCTCGTGCGCTCGCTCAACTTCCGCATGTTGAAGCAGAACGACATCTACACCCTTGCATTTGCTCAGTACGGGGAGGTGGACAAGGTTCCGTTGACGATTACATCTGCGGTGCTGCTCAGCGCTCGTTCTCGCGTGGAGGAAGGGTTCGAGGAAGCCGTCGAGCAGTGGGGCTCGAATCCAGCCAAATTCCCCGCCGATTTCGATAAAGGAGGAGACGAACATCCTGGAAAACGTATCAAGCTGAAGGACTCCGAGTGCAAGACTTTGATATCTAAGGACGCTGGATACACCGTAAGTCACGTTGATCGACGTCCCGCCGGCCCGCTCGCTTACCGTCTGCACAGGTTGACGTCACCATTCCTCCTGTCTACAAAGAGACTCTTCCCAAGAACGACTTCTCGGGATGCTGCAACGTCCGGGTGTACAGGGCTCGCTTTGGATTCACCGGTCTCAAGTTGTCGCCGTTGGCGAGCTCAGCTCGCATCACCGTCCGCATGGTGCATAAGGGTGTGGAGACTCTTGTCGACAAGCTGAATGCAGCGCACAAGTACACACATGATCAGATTGCGATCGTCTACTCCTTCAACCTCCTCTCGGACGGGTCCGTCCAGGTGCTGGATGACGGGAATATCGCGCAAGCGGACGTCAACGAAGTGGCCACAAGTTACGCTGCGCCAGGTCCCTTCACGGATTGGACGGTCAGTCTAGCCGACTCCGACGTCAATCACCTCGATTTCTCCGGAGTGAAGGATGCGTATTTTGACTTCTGTGGCACCAACTACGCTTTGGCCTGAATTCAGTCCTTCGAAGCTCGTTAGCACGATGCATGTAGCACTCCTTCCGACTAGTTCTTCCATCCGTGTCGGGATCGGCTTGATTGTAGACAGGATGAAGGCAATGTGACTTGATCACGAATCGATGCTCTACTCAACGCTTCGTCGGTGGAGCCGCTTCTTGCTAATCTCCGACGTTGCGTCACCTGTAGATCCCTGCACTTCCAGCACAGCCTTCTGCACAATATTCAGTCATGCTGCACATCCAACCGTGATATAACTAGACGAACGTGAGGTGCTTGTGGCCTCGTACCCAGCAGCAACCACATTGCAAGATGGCTTCGACGACCAACGCAGGCAAGATCTGGCAATTACTGCATCAGAACGATGACTTTGCTTCCACCATCCTCCTAGGCGTCTCCAAGGACGATACCGACAAAGTGCAGAGCGCACTCGACATCGTCAACATCGACCCCAGCGACCTCAACCTGACCGACGAGGAGATCGAGAACTTCTTCCGCGGTGTGACCGCGTCCGGTGCGCTCGAGCTCACGTCTTGGGAGGGTTACTATGTCACCGAGCCGCTCCCGGGCTCAGGTGACAAATACGCATTGTTGATCCTGTCCCTGGACAACACCGTGTACTGGGGGCCCGAAAGCGAGCTCATTCAAGACTTCAAGAGTTTTGCTATTCCTTATCAGCTATCTGAGGATGGCACGTTGCGGTTCTCCACCGCGGCGGGCGACGTCGTGCTCACCTTCTCGCGGGTGTATGACATGGAGAAGGGCACAGTGGAGGTGGGCACGTTCAAGGTATGCGGTATCCAGTTTCCAATACATAATTCAAGTAGCACTGACATTTGGCCCCGTGGCTGCAGGGGACGTCGGGTGGTATAGCAGTCGCTGGAAGTCAAGCACAATCTCTCCCGCCTTGGTCGAACGGAACGCGATCGAATAAGGTCACGAAACGCTCAGACAAGAAGGTGTCCGTGTCTTTGATCGCCCCAGACGACTCCGATCCTGATTCATCGCCCGTCCCATGGTACTCAACCGATGTTGGGGGCAACTTCATGGCTGTCCTAGGCATCCTCGGCAGCGTAGTTGCCGGGATCCAAATATATCTCTGGATACGGCAACTGTATCAAAGCAAGTCACGCCAGCAAGTCTCAGAGGAGCTCACGGAAGTCCTCACACACGAGCAATCGCTCGCTCTCGCTGTGGCAAGCGCGAAGGTCAACATACCGGACATAGACTGGTCATCTTCGCGGACAGGATTTACGAACGCAGTCGAGCAGGAGCTGAACGAGAGGTTGCGGGAGATGGGGGTCGACTTTGCCAGCACGGACGCCGAGAGCATCGTACAGAGCTTGCGGGAGACCATACGCGATGCGCTTAGGGCGGAGTTCGAGAGTCACGCCGTCCGGACGGTCACCAAGAATGTGCTTGACCAGAGCGACGCGTTCAAGGCGCTCCCAGACCACTTCCAGTGGGCGACGGACTTGGCACGCACGATCGGCATGGATCGCGCTGGCGAGATGTTCGGGAGTCTCGGATACGACTCGGACCCGTCCGTGTTCGATTCACTGGGTCGCAGCGTTGTTAATAAAGCGCGAAGTGTGTTCTTCTATGAGAACGCAGATGCCGCTGACGCTGCAGCCAGCCAGGCGAACAAGGAAGCATCGGACGCAGCTGCCCGCAGGGAAGCGATTGAGAAGGCGATCGAAGACCTCGATAAGGAGATCGAGCAGGACAAGGAGTCAGGAAATGAAGATCGGCTTCTTGAGGATCAGCATCGCAGGGAGCAGTTGGAGAACCAGCTCGAACGAGAAAGAAAAGCAGAGGAAGAGAAGGAGAAGGAGGCAGAGGAACGTCAGCACGAGGCCGATACATCCAGGGAGCAAGCAGGCGAGTCAAAGGACGAAGCTGACCGTTCGCACAATGAGTGGGATGGGTTCATGGAGGAACATGGTCTGTGATTGTGGGTACAAAGTAGGTTTGGAAGAGCCGTCTTTACCAGACCATGTCCGTTGCTAGTGCCTTTCGGCTAAGTGCATGCTGCCTTAGAGTCCTTTTTCTTCATAATCGCATGTGTCACCCAAGTTCGTCGATCCCATCCAATCGTTCAAAAGGATGTTCAAATCTTGGCGGGGTACGACGAATGCGCATGATGGGGAACGAAATGAACCTTGAACTTATGATCTTACAGATATCGTCACTATGTAATTTAAAATTATGGACGTCCCGATCGAAGACTAATACAAAAAAGCGACCAACCTGGGAGTCGAACCCAGAATCTTCAGCTAATCCACAGCTTTTGGGGCTACCGGAAACTGACGCCTTGACCATTAGGCCAGCCGGCCACAGAAAAAGGAGTCCCCAAGAAAACCTGAGACCTCCTAGTAAAAATCCGCGATTTTAAGGACATTGGAACTTCTTGAGTAATGTATTATGTGTTCTTCCCGGGACGCATTCGAGGACTCACAGTGCATGTTCGTGAAGTCCTTTGTGCGAAACGTGTCTAGACTCTACGCAACTTTATCAAGCGCCGATCATTTATAGAAGGTCCGAGGCCTCCATTCCTAACACGAACAAACACGAAGCGCACCCGAAATCATTCGACCCGGCGGGGCTTGTTCTTGATTCTATCCTTTACATGACTATTGATGTGAAACCTGCTGTAGCTCTGCTTATCCTCACTGCTCTCAAATTTTCTCTCTCTGCTCTCTCTCCTTCTCGATACACGCAGGTGCTATGCACCGTCGATTGAATCGTTGTGACTCGTCACTCTGTGCGTTCACTTTCTCTGGATGTCTCAATCTTGTGAACTTATTTCAATGGTGGAAGCGGTCACGATGTATCAGATATACCTTTACAGACTGATGCAATCTTATTATTAAGTCGCCCTCTCACATCGGCATACTCCTAGCGCCTTCGGAGTCCAAGGACAGAGGCCCTCACGACTGGAACTCGACGAAGATCACGATAGACACCCCAATCCACATATTCCATTTTTGACCTTGTGGAGGAAGTCAGGTAGATCTATATATCTAGTAACAAAGAACTGTTAGCTGAATTCGCACGGACTAGGCGCCTCCGAGAGGAAAGTTACTCGCTGAAAAACTGATACTAAGTCCACACGGAACTCCCCCTGCACACGAAATTGTCAGCGCTCCATGGTATGTCTCTCGCAATGCGTTTTTTAGAGGCGAGTCATCTTGGATATATAATCTTTTATATAAACGACTAACGGCTTGCATATCCCCATCTCCAGCCTAAGCTATCTGAACAGACATGAGGATGGCGTCTACAACCATAAGGCGACAATCATTGAACGAAGCCGCACTCACATGTAACTCTCCGCGCCCTAGTTTGTCATTAGCCTGCCGCTACAAGTACCGACGACAGCTGGGAAACTCCACGCACTTTTACCGCCTGTCTGCAAGATCAGCCGCTTCCCCAATCGCCTATAGACGCATTGTTACAGGCCAAAGCCCCTGAGATTTTTGGCGATCCACACAGTGCCGTCGAAGAGACATAGCTATATGATCAAGAGCTCATGTACCCTGTGTTAGGATCGGGCTCGACGAAACTCTCACTCTGAAAAGTCGAGACTGAATGGGCTGCAAAAAGGCCGGGATTTTGTAAGCAAGGCCCTCAATGATTTCTTCTCTGCCTGATGATTTTCTGATCTCGCCACTAGACTCGTTCGGTATTGCCGCTTATGGAAAACAAACGCGTCGATGTTTTTGGAGATTGATCAGAGAATCAGCGGATGAGCAACTCACCCGCATGATAATGACTGACGCTGGAATCTTCGTAGAGAACACCATGTTAGCTATGGCGGTACGTTGCTATTTCATTTCAACCTCCGAAAGCTCAACACTGTCAACAAACCCTCTTCCTCTCATTCCTCCATCCTCTCCATCTCCTTACCGTTAATCTTCTCTCACTTAATGTTTTTTCTAGTAAAACTTTGGGAGTATCTATTCTCGATAGCCACAGCTCCCTTCACATATGCTCCTTGTAGCTCTGCCGACATCTGTTGGGTCGACGAAACTCAACATGACGACGTCGAATCCATATCAACCATCGCCTCGTTTTATTCTCCTATCTACCCACCTTCCTTGAGACCTATGCAATCCATTCCTCTCGTTACGTTTCCCATATTCGATGAACCTGATCATCCCACTGCTCAGTCGCTACAGCCATCTCTCCGAAACCAACCGAAACCGCCATCCTTATTCCTTCCATTCCGGCCTTCTTTGAACGACGATATCCTCCTCATCATCTTCGCACTCCTAGACCTCCCAGCCTTAGCAAGATGCGCCCGTGTCTGTCGACTGTGGCACCAGCTCACCGCCACGGAAATATGGCGGGATGCGTTGTGCACCAGCATGCGTCCTCTGCTCGAGTTTATGGACACATATTATCTCGACTCCTACGTCGACTCAGTGAGTAGCCCATCCAGATCCAGAAACGACATCGCTAACCGAGTTACAGGCGTATAAGAAGAGACGGGTGTGGTTATCGTTTGAGCCCTCCCCAGCGTGCTGGCTCGACTTCCAAACACGCGTAGGGAGGTACATTCACACCTTGACGTTCAACACCAGCGCACTCGTAGCATCGGAGTATTGCCTCGGGCTCCTGAATCGTTCAGCCTGCCACGTAGACTTGCCTTGTCTCATCGAGCTTCGCGCAATCGTCGACCAAACCGCAATCGAGCTGGAGCTCGCCACAACATTCATGCAGCCTAGCGTTGAACGTTTACACTTGGAAGTCTGGGAGCCGCTTCCGGACGTCCATCGGTCACGTTACGCAATGCGGCGTGAGGCAGAGTTGGATACTATCCGGATGTTCAAGTTCGGCCAGATTACTCCCACCGCCTATCCGCTTACCACGTTTTTCTCTGACATCGTGCGACGCATGCCGGGTATCAAGGGGTTATCGTTCATCATGCGCGATTTGGACGAGATGCGTCGCGCATGGCCTGACTTTTTGAACCTCTCCACCTCTCTATCTCATCTGCAAACTTTGGAGCTCCCTTTACGTGCGCTTACCACGGCTGCAGTATCGTCGCTAACGGCACATCCAACTATCCGGCATCTCGGTGCTCGAGACATTCGGAAGAAACGAGAAGTTGTATCTACTGAGCCGTACGAGGATTTGCTCGTTCTTCAGAGCGACACCGTGACCAAGTTCGAGCCCGGTACACTCATTAGATGGGAATCTTTTACCATTACTGCCCCTCCTACCGAGCTTCTCTCCCATTTCCACGTGATCGGTCCACTCAGTCTCACTCTACTTCATATCAATTTCACCGCAGTAGTGGCCGGCCCGCACGGTATCAACGTCCTCATCGCTGCAATTGCCGAGACTTGTCCGGTATTACAAGACTTGAAGCTCTGTCCAATCACCTCCCAAGATGTACATAACGTGACGGTTCGTCCAAACTTCGAGATGCTTGAACCGCTCCGGCAGTTGCACGACCTCGCATCTCTCGAGGTGATCGCGACGCACGCATCTCAGTTCACGAACAACCAATTCATGCACCTCATTTCTTCGTGGGGCAAGCTGACACGACTCGTTTTGGATCATCCTGACGGTCTTGTTCCTGATCCCCTGGAAAAAGCCGACCTTTCTCTCACAGCAGTCTTGAGGACATGCAAGAAATACTGCCCTCGTTTACAAAACTTTGCCTTATATGTCTCGACAGACACTGGGAGTCCTGGTTCCGCTGTAGCATACCACATTGCTTCCTCAGAGAAGACTGCCACCACGTCTCTTCAGAAAGTTACGCTGTGCCTCGGATACAGCCCGGCCAGCAGCGCCGCCGAGATGGCACGTATGCTAAGCCAAGAGCTGCCGGAAACCTGCGAGGTCGAGTTTTATCCTACGTATCATACCATTCACGACGTTTTCGACTCTCCGGAACACCTTCGTTACTGGATCACACGCAATAGGCTTCTCCGTCAATTCGTGAAGGATGTGCGCTTGATGAGGGGTTCTTTCTTGGGTTATTGAAGGGTTGAAGATTAGTACTTCGGCCGGCACACGATATAACTCGTGTATAGCTTTTTCCATGAACCGCTATGACATGCTCAGTGCGCCCACATATGCACAATCGATCATAAAGTCGCAGCTATACCGTCGTAGCTAAACCATCGTGTACTTAGTACAGAGGGGAGTGGAATCTTCAACGTGCGTAGCTCATGTATAAGAAGAAGTTTTCCAAACGCTTACAAAACTTCGCCTTATACATGGACTTGCGCTGATCTGCGTCTCGATACACTGTATAGGGAAGCCTGAAACCTGAATGAGACGCACCAGACCGAGTCTACTAGCCGTAGTTCCCGCTTGGGCCGCTATTGAAAATAGAAGATCGTGGCCCCTAAAGCCTCAGGACAGGCGCATTGTGTGCATAGCAGTGAGCGAGACCTCAAAGCGACGAGACCATACTGACTCACCATATTGATGTAGTAGCCAGCTTATATAGCAGAGAAAACGGCGTGAGATTGGCCTCCGCAAAGACAATACCGTGCGATGTGCATTCCAACACTTGAAAGCTTCCGAAGTCTATAGACGTCAGGATACGGCTACGAAGCCTACTTGATTCCGACACACCTCGATATTGACAATTGCCTCATTGTCTTCGTGGGCATTCGCATGTAGCATTCGAGCGACACATTACGTCCGAACAGGCGTAGATCTCGCTAATGCAGGACGGAGTCACGAATCGCATGAGCTGTGAAGATGTACAATTGTGAAGCGTTATTGTGTCGTCCGTCGTGCAGATGAGGATCAGGCTCAAGCAGCGCTTCACGAAATTACGGTCCGAAGCCGGGCACTGCCGAACCTTGCCGAACCTGGCTCATTTCAGCGCCCAAAAGCATGAACGTTAACGCTGCTCGTCAGAAAACACTGCCGGGCAGCAGTCGGTGGACCAGTTCGCGACACTGACAAAATATCTGACTAGACGCTTTACGTTGCTTCATTGTAACTGGAAGAACACCCACGTCTGGAATGTTGTGAATGGCACTGAGCGCAGGATGAGTTTCTGCTTGGCGATTGCATTGACCGATTTAAGCACGAGAGTCAGTGCCAGTCTCTACGTAGAGGAATAGTGTGCATTGAATCCACAGCTTCTGAAGCCACCAGAGACTGACGCCTTGACCATTAGGCCAGCCGGCCACAAGGTACACGTACGACTTCCTTGAATCCGCCAAGTAGTACCCGAAAGTCCGCAATGGCGTTAAACGCCTGAGCGCTGTGTGTGCCCTGGGGGCATTGGAGGGCTCACAGGCAACGTTCATCAAGTCCTTTGTGTGTAACACATCTACACAGCCACGTCAAGCGCCGATCA